GGAGGCTTGACCCAGAGCTGGAATGTGAATAATTAACGTGGATCAGGGGCGGGTAATTGCGTGCCTGTCGCTCTCCACATCAGCTGGAAGTGTGACAAGGCAGGCTGGAGGCGTCCCCAGGGCTGCGGGGGGCTGGCGGGGGCAGGAGCCAGCTCCTCTCCGGTGCGGAGGGGCTGGGAAGCTGCTGCGAGCGCTCACCTGCCTCTCCCTGGCTCTGTTGCAGAAGGACAAGAGGACACCATCCTGTCATACGAGCCAGTGACGCGGCAAGAAAGTAAGTGCTGGTGCTGAGCTGCCCCGCATCTGCTCCAGGGTGGGCCCCTGTGTGCCGGCACAGCCGGGTGACCCGGCACAATGCCAGGAGGATGCAAGCGGAGGTTCTGGGGTGTTGCCTGCAGCAGGGAAGCCAGGGCTGTGCGCCGCCCCGCGGGGCTTCCCCTGGCCTTGATCACCCCGTTTTAATCAACAGACAAGGCTTGTGACCTGGTCTGCAAGCCCAAGGCAGAGATCCAGAGCTGAAACTGAGCTGGGCTTCTGTCCCCGGGTGAGGATGGCATTATGGCAGAGCAGCCTCCCCAGCCCCCGGCGCTTGATCCCTGCGGACCCTTTCGCAGGCTGGGTAGTCCCAGCCTCGGTGGTCTCTCCTTGCCAGAAGCTGGATCAGACTCTTAGGCTCCCATCGCTCCCCCAGCTCCGTGGCATCCTCACCCAGCTGTCCCCGTTGTCTGGGCTCCTGCCCTGAGAATCCCCTGGGATTCTCCAGATGCAGCACCTTCTCCCGGGGCTGCACAAATGGTTTGGGTCAGACGGGAAGGAGCTGTTGATTGTGTCCAGGAGGAGATGACCTGGCACGGAGGAGGCACCTTGAGGTGCCCATGGGAGCACCCGCTGCCGCAGGGAGAGGGCAGGTTGGTGCCCAAAGTGGCAGCGGGGTCAGACGAGGGCCTGAGGTCATGGCTCTTGTTCGCAGTTCACTACGCCAGGCCGGTGATCATCCTGGGGCCGACAAAGGACCGAGTCAACGACGACCTCATCTCCGAATTCCCGCACAAGTTCGGTTCCTGCGTGCCACGTAAGTCCCAGCGGGTGCTCGGTGCCCTTGCTGGAGGGAGAGGGGAGCAGCGGCTCTGCTACTCGCAGGGTCTAGCCCGCGGCATGGGCAGGTTTCCTCCCTCCCAGGAGGGTGGGTGTGCGTCACGCCGGGTTCGCTCACGCTGCCCGTTCTCCTCCAGACACTACGAGGCCTCGGCGCGAGAATGAGGTGGACGGACAAGACTACCACTTCGTTGTATCCCGTGAACAGATGGAGAAAGACATCCAGGACAACAAGTTCATAGAGGCCGGGCAGTTCAATGACAATCTCTACGGGACCAGCATTCAGTCCGTGCGGGCAGTGGCAGAGAGGGTGAGTGTCAGGTGCCATTCCTGGGACCGGGATGCATCTAGCCTGAACCCGGATGCCTTTGGCAGTTCCCCTCCTCTCCCTGTGTTGTTAACAAGACTGTAACCGCATTAAGCAAGCGCGGCACGAGTCTCTACTCCCTCCGGAGCCCCGCCAAGCCACGTGGCCGCGTTACTCCAGCTCAGTGTCATAGCCCTGTCATCCAGACTCCACCCAGAAGCCCGGCACCGCTGGCACCAGCCTTGTGCTTGGGAGCTCACAGGGCAAAGGTGCCTGGCTGCCCTTCTCGAAGCAGCATTTCCTCCACAGGAGAATCTGAGTGTACTGTTGGCTTGTAAATTGTTTCATTTACGAGAAATTGGGTCCCTTTGCATTGCTGCTGTCCTGCCCTAAGCAGGCGGGAGCGTAACTGGGAGTTGGCTTCTCAGGACCGGTGTTTCATCTCCGTGGCTCCTCTCTTTTGTAAGCACGTCTGTATGAGCAAGCTGTTTTCTGCACGGAGCAGACTGTGTGGGTAGAGCTGATCCCAATCGTCTCCTTTCCAGGGGAAACACTGCATCCTGGACGTGTCTGGCAATGCTATCAAGAGGTTGCAACAAGCACAACTTTACCCCATTGCCATTTTCATCAAACCAAAATCCATCGAAGCTCTCATGTAAGTGCAGCGCCATGTCCTGTGCCTCTCCCGGGCGAGCGGCTCTGGCTTTGGGGGTCTGTCTTTTTTTTTTGAAAGCAGCGGAGGCTGCTGCTGCTCCTGAACCCCTTGTAACGAGGAGCTGGGCCCATTGCTGTCTCGGTGGTGTCCCTCTACATCTAATGCCATGCTGTATCCAAGCTCCATGGATTGCTCTGGCTTAAACCCCTTTGTTCGCCCCAAAGAGGATTATCCAGTAGTGGTGGATCGCAGCTGGTTGGTGGCTGAGCCAGGGCAGCCCTGGGGAGCAGACAGGAGATGTTTCTTGTGTGCCCAGGGGATCCCTCTGCTTGTTCTGCTGCTCCTGGCCCTGGGGAGCACAGGCTGGAAAGGATGCAAGAGCTGAGCTTGCAGCTCTCCCGAGCAGCAGCCAAGAACATGATCTGTGGGGAGATTCAGTAGCTCGAGGTGGACTCCGAGGGCAGAAGAGACACTGCTGGCACAGGGGGACTGGGAAAACCCCCTCCTCGAGCCAGGAGGGGCCAAATGGCTTGTGTGGGTGTTGTGGCAAGGATGGTGGTGACAGGCTCTGGAAAAGCAGGGAGACTTCCGCAGTGGTGTGGCCAGTTCAGAGGACTGTCTGCATCTGAGCCCATTTCTGTGCTGTGGTGAAAGGGGGAGGGGTGGTGGCCGTGGGGAGAACTGTGGGAAGCTGAGGTGAAGTGCCAAGGCACCAAAGAGCATGTGGGGAGGGGTCCTGCCTTTGAGAGCTGGGTCCTGGTGTGCAGAGGCTTCCAGGCACCCTGGCCCCATGGGCTGTTTTTGCTTCTCGCTGCTAAGAGAAAAGCTAATTTTCTTTTTTGTACGTGGCAGGGAGATGAACCGGAGACAGACGTACGAACAGGCCAACAAGGTCTTTGACAAAGCCATGAAACTCGAGCAGGAGTTCGGAGAGTATTTTACAGGTGAGTGTCCTGAGCAGGCTTGTATCTGATTTTAGTTTTCCGGCTGGCAGCTCCCTACCAGCACTGTCTTTCTGCAGGGTCATGGGAAAATGTCCAGCTTCATCAAAGCAAAAAAGAAATGGCACTTTGCCAGCCCAGCTCCAAGATCAGTGGATAAGAGTTAAACCAGCTCTAGAGAAGGAGACAAGCCGTCAGGCAGGATTTTCCAAGTTTGTGAAAGCTTATCACCAATGTTAGTAATATTAAAGAAAATCCCCAGGCAGGGGAAGCACAGCATAGATCCAGGGGGCTACAAGGCAACAGGAAATAAAATTCCCTGCACAGGGAACGTTTTCAAGGAGAGAAGAGAGTCATTTTGAAGAGGAAAGATTTAAAAAATTAGTGACCTAAATGGTGGAGACTGGCCCGAGTTACTCCAAAGCATCTTCCAAAAAAAGACTGGGAGTTTGGCTGGCTTCCGAAGCAGTGTTTGCTGAAGAGCCGGTCAGGGGCTGCCTGGCACTTCGTGCCTGCAGGGATGAGCCGCTCGTGACACGGGCGTCCCTGTGCATTAAGGATCTGGTGTTGGTAAGGTGCTTAATTCTGGAAAATCATGGGCAGGTGAGGAGGCAGAGAACCCAGTCTGCCATCTTTCCTCCAGTGCAGTAACTCTTTCCTCTAAAGCTGAGGAGTGATAATCCTGCCAAACCCTGTGTTCCCCACCTAACAGCTCCCGGGAACAATCCCAAGCAGAACACTTTCCAAAAATGGATCTCGGTTGTGCAAATGTTTGGGTACAAACAGGGTAAAAGCTTTCCCCAGAACTCCTGTCCCAGGCAGCAGCTCCAGAGCTGCCAGCTGCTCCTCCAGGAAGAGCACGGAGGAAGCACGCGCCGTGGTTTTGCCAGACCCTCGGCGTGCCAGCGTGCGCTTGGACAGGGAGTTGGAAGTTGACCTGGGGAAGGAACGCTCTGGGCTGAAACTCATTGCTGAAGGAAGTGGGCAGAGGGATGGCAGCACATCCTGTGCCAGGAATTGCCAAGGAGGCAGCAGAGATGCTGGAGAACGGTCCTGGCTGGGCTGTAGAGACAGGCTGAATCCCCGGAAAGCTTTGGCCCTCCGTGTGAATCCTCCTCCGATGCAGCCGGCAGAGTTCAGTGCTTTGTGTTGTGGCCGTGCTGAGCAGCGAGAGCGTCGCTGGTCTTTGGGCGAGTTACTGCCGGGGATAACGGCCGTAGGTTGGCCTTTTCCAGCCCAGCGGTGCTGCCATTCCTGCCCCACAGCACGGGAAGCCACAAACACAGGGAACCCGCAGCCGTGGGGACGGCCAGATCCGTCACCTTGGGGTAGGCGCTGGGCGCAGGCCGGTTAACCTGCGCGAGGCTCCCGTCAGCCCAGCAGAGGAGCGGCAGGGACACGGTTTGCAAAGCTGAGGAGCAGCTGGTTGTGGGGATCCCAGCCGGCACTTCACGCGCAGGAGGAGCTCTGGCAGTGCGGGATCAGGGCTCGCTAATCCCCTGGGACACGCTGTGTTAACCCTCTGTGTCACCGGGCGCCTGCTGTCGCTCCTTGGACATGGGTGGTTTGTCGTCGGCCGCGCCAGCCCCTTTCGTGCCGGGCAAAGGCCCTTCCTGTGGCTCCGATCCGCCCCCATGCTCCTCGGCTCGT